GCATGCGCGCGCGCCCGCTAGCGCCAATTACCGAGTCCCGGGGCTCCAAGCAGTTCACCCGCGAACAGGGCAGGCCCGCGCGCTGCGCGCCTCGCCTGCGGTGAGCTCCAGGACTAGCCTCATGTTCCCGCGCCCGGGGCGGTCGGTCGATGGGTGCTGCACAGTCCCGCCCCGCAGAGCCCGTGCGACCCAGTTAGCCGTCGGTGCGAAGCCCGGCGCCCAGAGTTCTCCATGCGTGCGTCGCGGCGGCCCCGACGGCGCCTCCGGCCTCGGCGCTCGGGGCGGCTACGCTCATAGCTCCCACTTCCGGTCACCCATGTCCCGCCCTGTGCTACCCTCACGCCCGAGGGGACAGGAAGGAGGCGGGGCTGGCTTCGGTGTCCGGGCGAGAGCCGGGGCCGGGCTCACTGAGGCGGGCACTAGGCCCGGGTGTGGGCGGGGGCGCGGCGGCGGCTGAGTGCAGCCGCCCAGAGCGCCGATGGCAGCGGCGGCGGCTCACCACGTGATCCAGGAGGGCGGAAGCGGAAGTGCCGGCCTGGAGCCCGCGCTAGGAGGGTGTCCCTTCAGCGCTGCCCAGCAGCCCCCTGCCCCAGCCATGGACTGCTACACCGCGAACTGGAACCCGCTCGGGGACTCTGCCTTTTACCGGTGAGCCGCCCCGCCCTTCCGCCCACGGCCTGGCTTACCCCGCTCTCCCGCCGGCTCCAGTCTCGGGGCGGAGCCGGCAACGCGCCACCCCGTCACTCTGGGCGCTGGGGTCCGCCCCTCGCCGGCTCTGCCCCCCGGCGTCTGCCGCTTAACCTACGGAAACTGAGGCAAACGTAATGGCCACACAAGTAGGGGCAGAGCCGGACGCTGAAGCCTAGGTCTGTCAGCCTCCGGAATGATGCTCACATCATGTTGAAGGAGGCCGCCCACTGGTGACACGAGTGCCCGGTCTCCTGCCCGGATGTGCGGGTCTCGGAGCGGGGCAGGGTCGCACGGCGGGCGGGGTAGCAGTGCTGACCAAGCCTGGGCGAAGGGGGACGAGTCGCCAGTGAGCCCAGGGGCTGCACGAGTGAGCACCCCTAGCTAGGGCAGCCCTCCCATGGGATTCGTAGAGCCGTAAACTACTAATTTTTCTAAAGTGTAAACTGATTACATCATTACCCTGGTACAAACTACTCCTGTTTGATATATGAGTCAGCTCCTGTTTATCTCTGCAACTTCATTTGCCCCTCTTGTACCCAAATTTTGTGTTCAGTTACACAGAACAGGACCCCAATATACCACAGTGTTTCATGGCTCCCTGTGTTTGCACCAGCCTGCAGTTCCTTCTGTGGGTACTGCCATTTCCTTCATTATTTATCTGGATATTCTTGCTCATCCTTTAGGATTTAGTTCAAGGGTCCTTTCTGAAATCTTCCCTGATCCAACACAGTAGAGACAGCTGCCTTTCCTTTGGGCCCAGCGCCAGGGTCTGTTATGTATGGCACAGTAGGTTTGTATGGTAGGTTTCTTATGCTAAGCCAACTTCCTTGAGGGCTGACAGTGTATTTCTTGCATTTCATTCTCTCCAGTGCATATTTAGAACAGTGCCTGCTATGTAGTAAGCAGTTGCCCAATAAAGTTTTTAAAAAACACTTTATTTTTATTGCAACTAAAGATCACAAAGACATCTCATTGGGGTCTTATTTCAATAGAAGACACCATTTTGCCCTTAAGAGGGACAAATGCCTTGTGGCAATTTTTAGAGCTCTATTGTATTTGCTGTTTACTTCTGATTTTTCTTTTTTAATCCATACCTGAGGATATTTTTTCCATTGCTTTTCAGAGAGAGTGGAAGGGGGAGAGAGAGAGAAACATCTATGTGAGAGAGACATCCATTGGTTGTCTCCTGCACGAGCCCCCTGGATCTAGCCTGCAACCGAGGCGCACGTGCCCTGGGCTGGAATTGAGCCTGGAACCCTTCAGTCCACAGGCTGACTCTCTAACCACTGAGCCAAACCAGCTAGGGCTATTTCTAATTCTTACCTCTCATAAATATGTTTATACACTATGGAAAAAAATTGCAAAAGTTTAGTCAAAATCAGTAAAGTCACTAGGAAATAAGAATGATATTAACTGTTTTTGTGGAAAAGGGATGTCATTTGGCATGTAACTTAGTGTATACAACACAGCGTACACTTTTGAAAATACTGACTTGTATTACTTTTATAAATACATGTTGCCTTCACAAGCTTATTAAATGAGAGTACTAAAACTGATGACCTCATTACTACAGAACTCCTGTTTATGATATGAAGTTTTAGCTTTGTTGATACACCAATAAAGTTTTAAATGAATGTGTTAACCTGCATAGTTCCCCTACTTATATTTACTTTTGTTGCTGTAGTGCCAGAAAGGAGTAGAAGTCTAAGCCTTGCTGTGGAGCATGTGTTATTTTTGCTAACAGGTGTTGTGCCTATCTGTATACTTCACACTTTGCTAAGTACTTTACCTGTATTAACTTAAGTCTCACAACCCCACAAAGTAGGGACCATTATTAAACCCATCTTACTGATGAGGAAACTGAGGTGCAGAGAGGTTAGGTGATGAGGTTCACAGCTAGTAAGTAGTGGAGTGAGGATTTAAACTCAGCTTTATTCTAGAGCCTGTGCTAAATAAAGCCTAGGTTTGTTGGTTTTTAACAGGAAAATAAAATAGCATGTCCTCGCTTTTCTACTAGAGTGGAAATGTTTTAAGTGCAGATACTTGGTGTTATTTGTATTTATGTATAGCCTTATGCCAGGACTTAATACATGTTCAAGTAAAGTGAATGGATGATAAACAGGTGGCAGACAGTGCATTTTGAGTCCTATCTACAGGACAGGATTCTTTTTCATTGGAGGTAGTGTTCTGGAAAACTAACTAATTGGGGAAGTCAAGGAGAGTGAATGGTGACCAGTTCTTATCGGGCTTCAGAATTTTAGCTGTTTTTTATCCTAAAAACCCAATTTGGGATAACCTTATTAATTAATTTTGCTCAAACCTTTGCCAGGCTGAATGTATATCAACCAATAAGAAGACATGGACCCTGTCTGTTCTCATAGAACTTACAGCCAGCCCGGGAGACTGTTGATAAGCACTGATGACCCAGTATTTGTTTGATAATAATCACTGTAAAGAAGAGGTATAGTGTCCTAAGACAGCATATAACAGCCTGGTGAGTTAAAAGTACAGAAGGCTTTCTGAAGGAAACCAGAACTCATCCAGGGGATAATTAGACATTGGTGCAGGGAGTGGGATAGGGAATAGCATATACAAAGGTCCTGAGGCAGGAGAGACTGGGGCACTCTCAGTGACCTGAATAAAGAGAGCCAAAGTGGCTGGAGTGCCAAAGGCAGGGATGGGGGCAGACGAGATGAGGTTAATGCCTTTCTCTTAGGGGCCACACCCTGCAGGGCCTTATAGGCCACCTTTATTTGAAGAATAGTAGGAAGCCTAAATAAAGGGTCTTAATGAAAGGATTGATGTGATTGTATTTGCAGGTGTGTGTATGTTTGATTACTCTAGATAGGTCATATAAGTGGAATCACACAGTATTTGCTCTTTTGTGACTGAAACAAATCAATGTTTCTCTTTCTCTCTCTTTCCCTCTCTCGCTCAAATCAATAACTAAAAATTAAATTTTAAGAAAAGAGACCAAGTGATTTTCTGAATTTGTCCCATTGCTTCCTTGTGGAGCCTTTTAACTTTTTTCTGTGTCATAGCCTGTATTTCCTGTAACTGTTAGATCTAAAGACGTGATTAGATTCTGGTTGAACATTTTTGGCAGAAATGCTTTGTAGGCAATGACATGGTGCTTGTGCTGCATCACATCTGGAGTCACCATTACATTGTGTTGTCTGCTATGAGGGACATTAACAAGGGGGTTAGGATGGTGATGTCCACATCCTTCATTGGGATGCTGCACTGGTTCCATCAGTATGAGTTTAATCATGAGACAGAGACCATAGAGTGATGAAATAGGTGAAGTTTCATATAAACAACTCTTACACTGTGACAAAGTAACTATAAAATAAAATAAAACTCTGTCCTATGGGGCTGAGGAGAAAGGATGGACAAACTTAGAAGGGAGTGGGGGTATCCTCCTCAAGCTGATGTTCCAACCTTGATGGAAAAGGTATAGTTGCAGCCTACTGGGTGGTGAAGTTTGCTGGTTTGCCTGGGCCAGAGCTGGTCCACAGTTACTGGGCAAGCAGGAAGCAGCCCTCCTGGGCACAAATGGGGCACAGATCAGCCATAGCTGGTGGCCTGGTTCATGGGTTTGCACAGGGCTTAGAAGCACCAATGTGAGTGGGAGACCTGGAGCATGCAGTGTCTGTGTGGAGAGAGCCACAGGAAGATGGACACCAGTCTAGGCCAAGCCTGTGAGGTCATCAAAGGATTGTGTGTTGTGGGTGCATGTTGGGCAGAGCATCACCAGGTGTCCTCATACCCGCGGTGCTGGCTGACCTTGCTGCTGGAAATAGCCAGAGAGCCCCTTCCTTGTGCAGTGTTCCTACACTGCCCTCTACTGAGAAAGGCTAACATCTAGCTCACTGTGGAGCACATATTGAAGGGTGAATTTGGAGTTGACAGACAATAAATTGATAACTGGCACAGTCTACACTTTGATTACTCATCTCCATATGCACCCTCTGCACACTTTTGAACTCCCTTATAACAACAAAACAAGTCTATATTTCTGCTTAAGAAGCTACCACTATCCTTCTTACAAGTAAATATTCTTTCCCAAATTGAGAAGACATATAGTCTTAACAGTCATATCTATCACTCTATTAATTTCTCCTTCAGTGCCATTGAATATTCATTCTGTTTCCCAAAAGTTAAATTGTAAAGTTAACCTGCAGTTATTTGTGTATAAATAAAAATGAGAAGGAGAGAGAAGATAATGGCTAGTGTATACATATAAACACACACATGTAACAAGCATGAAGAAAATATGCAAAGTGACTATAGTCTTCATTTCTATAATTGGTCATCAGATTGTAGTTGATATCTATGGCTTCCTTCAATTGTCCTCAACCAGAACCTCCACTGCTCTGGGCTCCTTACATAATGGAGTGACCCAAACCTTCATTTCTCGGTCATTCTGCTCTTTTGGTTGCTGAGGTTTTTCATTAACATTTACAGTTAGGTACAGAAGTACTAAAAGGTGCCTCAGAGGACCCCCTGGGTATTAGACATAGTCCTTCTTGCCTCCATTATGTAGCAGCAACTCAATTTCCCCTTGGTAATCAGGATAGTCACTTCAGCCAGTAAATGAACCCCATTTTCTTATGCCTGTTGGTTAGGTGGCATAAGGAGCCCAAAGTGGCAAGATGGCCCTCAGTATTCCAGTTCAGTGAATCTGTTACTGTATCTCATGGTGGAAACATTCTCCCTGTGGAGACTAACCTCACCTAACCAATAGATCTCAAAGTTACCTGAACTGGAAGCAATATTTTTGTAAGAGTCATTAGGTGTAATAATAAGAGCTACTCTCACTTCTACCCCTTGATTCTGGGTCCCAGGTATTCTGACTCTGGAGGAAACAACACCATGTAATAGTCTCTGATGCAAAGCACAAGCTGCATCCTGTAAAATAGAGCTCCATCCTTTTAGGATACTGTCTCCCAGTTGGT